TAAAACTTGTTTTAATTGTTAATTTATTGGTTATTTATAGGATTTTAAATCTTTTAAGCCGAGATGCACCAGGTTTTAATATTTTTATTGTATAATTTGTTATATTTGTATATTTTGTTCTTGTTGTGAGCTGCCCCGAGGCTTTGTTGCGATGGGGGCGGCATAAAAATGTTTTAAATAAATAAATAAACAAACAAACAATTTCATACTGTGGGAGTTGCTGATGTTTCATTTTACCACCAACATAGTGAGAGCTTATAGCCTCAATTGATACTAAAACCTGAATGGTTCCCTTATATAGGCTTCTTACTAGGGTTTAGGTCAAGTTAGGTTTCTCTGCAAGACAAGAATAGACTTAGGGTAGCACCACAGAGAGCTCCAAGTGGTGCTGCAGTTGCGACAACCAGTTGATTCAGTTACTGCCTGAACCTTAAATAAGACTTGGGCTCTACTCCCACACAATGCCTAAAGTCTTCTACCTTCATGGGACAGGCTTGCTTTTGAAGCCTTTGGTCACAACACAGTTAGGAAGTAGCTAGGGAGCAGTGGTGAATTCAGAACTGAGGTCCATTGAATCTAAGAATGACAATGCGTCTTCTTCTAAGAGCACAGGAACTGGTCCCAGGGCCCTTCTGGGGTCGTGCCCCTGAGTGAGAGAATGGGTACTTCAATACCCTGACCTTTCCTTTACAGAATTGGGCAAATTGTGGGCCTCCACTTGCTTTTGGTTCCTCCTTTTGAGGAAAGAAGCAGAATTTTGGATCATGACACTTCCACACGCATTCACAGAATGTGTAACTATCATGTGCGAAGAGCTTTTGTTAAAATTAATGCTTGCAATAAGGAAGGAAGGGTGGGAGATGGTTGCCAACACCATTCTCTCCCAGTTTTTGTTTTTCAAAATTATAAATGTTCATTTGCTCTGGAGTAATGTCACAATCACTTAGCACACAACCAAGACTATCTGTTACATGAAGTAAGTACAGAGGACTTCAGGTTGTCTCATTTGATCCATCTCAGTACATGACACTAGAATAAATTTCTCTGCCTATACTTAGAAAATCATTGTTAGCAGTCTGGTTCTTTCACCTCTGCATTCCTGGTGCTTCATTACACACATTGGCTACTTTTCCAAAACTGAGAAACACATCAATTGCTCACCTTGCCACGCCCTTTCCTAAGCACTTCAACTAATCAGTTCTGACCAGAATCCAAAACAAACATAATGGCAGAGAAAAGATGAGATACCTGAAGAAGAACCCTGCAAAGCCTCAGTTGTTCTACAGGAGAGGAGGTCAAAGAGCCCCTTGGTTATGCCCTAAGTTAGAGGTTTCCTACCTGGGGTGCCCACACCGCCAAGGGGTGTGAGGTGACATTTCAGAGGGGGTGCAACAAAGGGGAAGGCTACATCACAATTCACCAAAATTGGTGAAGCATGATTTTTTCACCAAAAGTTATCCCATTCTTTATGGATTTAGTTTTCTTTTGTCAATCAAGATGAAATTTAGGAATTGCCTGAATCGACAGGCAGGCTTACAGATCACAATAAGCAAAAAAGTTCCACATTTTGAAAAAATCATGAATGAAAAGCGGGAACAAAGAAGTATTTGAATTTTATGTTCACAACTGGGATTGATTTTACTGTTTACAGTTTTTTCTAATTGTTCAATTTATATTTGAATGTTATGCACTGAGTTAAAAGCTTTTTTTTAGTTCAATTTGTTCACCTACATTACAGTATATAGTTCAATTTGTGGTTCAAAAATTAGAAATTTGACTTCAACTTCCAATGTGGTATTACTTTTATAATGCATGCAAACATAAGTCAAACACAGAAAACATAGGGCATAGAAAAGAGACCTACTGTCATGTGGGAGTGAATTAATGGAATGAGCTAATATTGCTGGCACTTTGGATCTTGCTCAATTGAAAATATAACCTTATTAAAAATTAGTTGTCAAGCAGGGTTCTACAGCTTACAGTATCTTACACTATATTAATAAATGTTGTGGACAACATATCAAACAGTTTCTGTCAAACCCAACATAAAAAATATAGTGATGTTCTTCGAGTGGTCATCTGTGCGTTCACACATATGGGCTCTGAGCCTGCCCGTGGGGCCCATATGTGTAATGCACAGAGACCACAAAGAAGAATGACAGATTTCTGATAAAGATTCTTAAAGAATCATAGCACTAGTTGCATATATACTGTATATGCCTATATTAATATACAACAGAGCATACTATCATTATCACAGTTTCTTAATTTCCTTCTTGAATGGTGTTTTGATGGTTTTTGTACTACACAAGAAAATAATGAAAAATATCAACAGATTTTTGGGTCATCATTGTCATTGTTCAGACAGCATTCACCTTGTGGGTCTTTCTATTAATATTTTGCCAGAACTTCTCTTCATTAGTAATTTCATATTCCTGACCCCCAAGAGGGCCTTCTCTTGCAATCTAGTGAAGAAACTCCTTACTCAAAAACATGAGCTACCACCCAGGAAGGCAGCAGCACCCCATGTCCACTATGTCATATTTGCATGCAAAGGTATATATGAGAATTTCCCTCTCTCTCTATTGTTACACAATAATAGTTGGTGGATTTGACAAAAGAATCATCAGCCATCACTGCAAAGTAGTTTTCTATCTTATACTACATTTAAATATTCTGGAGTCTAAACAGCAGCCAGCTAATTTTCTCTAAGAGACCATTTCAGAAGTTGACATTCTTCCAAAGCTAATATTCATATCCCCATTTTATTTTAACCTATTGCTATTATGGCTAATTTAGTTGTTGCAGTCATTTATCAACCAAGTTTACATTAATCTAAACTTCAATACCATATATCACTAGAAGCATTAGAAACCTATCTCATGAAGCAAAGCTCAACATTGCTTTTAATCAGACTATTTGTCTAAGATATACTAGTGTGGTTTCAGCATCTTCCTTCCTTTGTGTGAGGTAGCTCACTAACCATAACAGAGAAGCCCCAGTGCAGAATCTAATGAATATGTAAATTTGCCTAAGTGCAGCATGACAAAGATATTTCCCGAATAATTTTAACATTTGTAAGACAGAGACATATCTCTTGTGACATATGTTTGATATTTTCATATCCCCAAGATGTCCTTTCCTTCCATGCAGAACTATTGGGTTGTCATAAATAAGCAGCCAATCATGAGTTGGATCCAGACTTAGTCATACTCAGAGTAAACATATCAAAATCAATGGGTAGGGTTAGCCATGACTAACATAACTTCCATTGATTATAGTCACTCAGTTCTAAGTCTGAACAAGCCTAGATCCAGTCCAATTGCTGTTATTAGTTTTTTTTAAACCCTTTTTCAGTGACACTGCTCTAGCATCAATTATAACAAGATTATGCCAAGGATACAGATCTCCTTTAACTTACATTGTCACATTATCCCAGAGCTGTCATCTAAAACTGTCATGTTATTTTATTAAACATACTTTAACAATGCCAGTAATTGAAAGTTATAGATTCATTTTTCATTCTTTCAGTTGTTGTGCCAACAGAAACTGGAGCCCAATGTTATAGTATTTTCTTCTTACTATCAAAGTCTCAATCCTAAAACCCATTAATCTAGCAAGATCTCAGTAGCAGCAATAAGACTACCCTGAAGTTAAATGGTTTTAGGATCAAGACTCATGGTTGTAGAGAAGGGTGACAGCACAAATACTTATCATGAAGACAGGATGACCATCTGTCAAAAAAAGTGTTGTACACTGAAACCAGAAAAGAAGAATTTAAGCCACAATGCACTCAATTTAATGGAAGTAAAGATTTTTAAGCTACTACCCTAACCTGTCAAGCAAGCCTGGTTTGCAGTAAAGCTCATTCTTCCCAGCTGCAGTCATATTGGGAACTACCTGTTAACTGTTAAGGGTGGAAAGATAAGCAGCAGCAGGGCAGCAAAAAGGAGGAGGTTTATCTATGGCAGCTAATCTGTTCAATCAACAGCACTCAGCTCTGCTCAACAGCCGTTGCCAAGTAACAGGCCAGGCTTCTCTTATCAGCTTCCTAATGTTTCATTGACTATTCAGACAAGAATAGAAAGCTGTGACATGGAGGGTTATAAGCAGCACAAAATGAAAATGGCACATTATGTGGGAGGAAAAAGAGAAATCTTTTACTCCTCTCTTTATCTGGATAGACAGGGTCTATTGCTAAAGAGAAGAGAGAGAGAGAAATTTTATGTTCTGCTCATTCTAAATCACAAAAACAAACGGAAGAGGATGTAAATTTACATAAAGAAGATTCTTCTAGCCTTCTTGGCAAGAGCTAAGCAATTTATTGACACCACCAATTCCCTTGATACAGACAAACAGCCATTTCTCAGTTACATATTCCTTGGAACTTCAAAGTATTTGTGGCAAAGAAGAGAGGAACTGGAATCTTTGTACATTTTATGTCCCAGTTGTATTAAAGACAAATGCACACCAAATCTACAGTGTTAATATGTTATCTACTGCATCAACTCTCTCTCCTACATAGAGAAGAATGAAAATTTCAAACTGCTTTTATAGATGCTACATTTTCTCCTTTCAGACTCCGTGTTAGGCCCAGGAAATTTCCTGTTTTATCCTTTGATACGTAAATTAAAAAATCTGATTTTCAATGCAGAAATGATTAATTAAAAATGCAACCTTTAATTATGTGGCTGAGCATCAAGACAGTGGCTTCTGTCATTACCTCTTCAGCATAATAAACAATATGTTTAATGCTTACCTTTGCTACTTATTATATTACAGTGTAAGCACTTTGTATAAACACGCTGTAGCTCAAAAATGAGCATTGTCATATGCAATACAGATAACAGATACACTGTTTTTACATTAATTTACTTATCCACATTCTTGTAAAGGAAGAAATAAACAGCACCAAATATCTGATTAATGTCACAGATTATGAGACTTTGTATAGTGGACTGAATTATTTGCATAATAGTCAGATTCATCTAGCATACTCAGGGCCATTTTGCCTATTACATTTCAAAGTTACCTTAGATCTCTTTGGAGTAATACAATCTGTGCCATACAAAATCAGCAAATCACAATATACATACATACATACATACATACAGAGAGAATATCATAGAGTGAAGACAAGTGTAGAGAAAGGTGAAAGCAATGGAATGGAACTATCATTTTTACACAAAGTAGTAACTTAGAATAGAATTACTGCTATTTTGTTGGGGGTCTTTTCATGCACACAATGAAACCTGAGGCTTTAATTTGAAGAGCAAGGCCTATATTGGCCTTAGTAACACTCATGCTTTTTCCCTGCTTGCCTTTATTGCCTGTATTCTCCTGTAATGCTTTTACCTCTACTGGTGAAAAGATACAAGATCAGTATCTTTTATACATCTGGAAGTGGGAAAGCACTTTCCTTCCTAATTTCACCTCTATACTGCCCCATAGCCCATGCTCTCTGGTTTTTAAATTTAAAAATCATAAAAACAGCCAATAACATAATAATTTAAATAACACAGTAAACATTAAAACCCATATAACAGTGTCAACAACCCATAGTGACTATAGTCAGAATTAGCAAATGGCACAGCAGCAGTAATCATAATAACAGCTTTAAACTAGCGCTTATCTATTAAAATATCTGAAAAATAGAAAGGTTTTCACTAGGAGGTGAAAAGAAAGCATAGATGGTGCCAAGTGTACTTCTCTGGTACATGTTCCAGGGCAAGTTCCACAAATGGGATGCAACTACCAGAAAGGCCCTTCTCTTGGTCACTGCCCTGGGGGCGTTGGGGGAGGTTCCCTGAGAAGGACCTTAGTGGATGCTTTTAGGGGCCAAGAACATCGGGAGAAAAAAGTGTTCAGAAGATCCTCTGGCTACACAATGGTTCAACGCTTCAGATTATAGCTGCATTCATATTGTAATATTCTTTCAGACACTCTCACACAGAGATTTATAAAACTACCCAACCCCCCTTTATTTTTCCTCTCTTACTATTACATTTATAACTGGGTAAAAACTGGTAGTGAAAGAGCTAAACTGCTCCTTCTGGAAATATCACAAAACTCTGTTGTAATCATCTGCATTTGTTAAGCTCAGGTCTGTAGCAAACCAACAAACTGAGACCAGTCCAGCAGTCATGTACTGGAAATCCGTCGGTAAAACTAAAGTTTCTTGGTAAATAACCTGTTTTGTTACCTGCATCAAATTACAAAAAACAGCTATAGAGCATGTCTAGTAGTCTGCATTCCCCTTGGTGGGTCACAAAATGAGCAGGGCTCTCCTAGTTCAAACAAACAAACAAACAACAAACACTGTTGCAACCCAATCCATTCTAGAAAATGATGATTAAATCAATTCATTCCTAAACTGATATCCCTTCCTTTCATTTCTAAGAATGACTCTACTTCCAATCCTAACTTGCTATTTAACATGTAAAAAATAAGTGCTGCCTAGGCTCAGAAATGGGCCTTCTGTAGCTAAGTGTAATTTTCATATTTTGATATTGAGCATGCATACAATTGAAAATAATTTGAAGGACAATGTTTTAAAACTTTAGGATGATTAAGATTTTTTCTATTATAATTATTTTGTAATTATTATATTTTTACTGTATTTGAATGCATTATTTCATTGTTTTAATCAATTTTAATTTTAGCTTTTAATTTTGTTGGTAGAAAGGCAGGGTTCAAATCAAATCAAAATAACTGCAAACTACTTTAGATATGAACACAAAATTTCTCATTATAACACACTCTTTAACTATTTTACCTGTGAAATGTTGAATGGAGTTTTCCCTATTGTCCTGCTTTACAGCAAATGCATGTGGATAAAGGTTTCCTGAATTAGGCTGTACTGTTTGGATGATTAAAAATATCCAACTAGACATCAAGCAGTTTGGAAAGAAACCAATCAAATTATTTTAACAGTATTTTGGGTCAAATTCATTTGGGATGTAAATGTTTTATTTCTTCAAGAATGCTCTATTAGCCAGACAACCATTATCTGGCCCAATTATCTAAATTCCCTCTATTTTCACATGTAGCACCATGTCAAGACAAACTAACATAAACAGCATTGCCTAACCAAACAACTAATTATCTAAATGTTTTCTGCTGCTTTCCTGACCATTTGGATAAACGAGATTGGACTAAGGTACAAATCAGTGCCACAAAAATATATCAAGAACTAAGAACCAGCAGGTCTGTCAGTTATAACCAAGTAATACAGCTTAATGGGAGGAAACAGAAAAATATAGGTCTTTGGGTTAGCTACTACTATTAAGCCACCTTTCTTTTCATAAACAAAACACTCTCCATATTGGAGTATGGGATTACATATTTAAATCCATTCTTGCTGCAGTTTGGGTGTGGTGCTTTTAAAGGCTTCAGAATAATTTCTGTAAAACTAACATGGATCATCTTTAATTACTATGTTGCAACCATGGTTATTTAAAACCCCAGTCTCAGAATAGTAGATGACAAACATTAATGAGCAGTAATGCACACATGGTATTGTAAATGAAAGGATAATGAAAGCAATTTATTTGAAAATTAAAATATGATTAAGAATGGCAGGCTGAACTAGGGCCCAGATGCGTGGAAAAAAAAGCAACCAACATGCAACAAGACTCTCATTAATTCAGGGACCTTTTGAAATTGCTTTTCTTTCTCTGACAGTTTTTAATATACAGTAACTTAACTAGCAGACAGTGTATATAGTCCAGAAGCCCAAAACTCCTTGGAGAGATTCAGAGAAATTGGGAGTACAATACTAGATAATTCTCTAAATTATAGTCTTGGTACTTTAGATCAACTGGCACACAAGCCATTCATAGAATTCTTAAAGGATGGAATACCAACAGCTTAATCCATAAGAGAAACCAGTTAAGCCACCCTATTTAAACCAGGATCAGCTGTAAGTCTAACATTTTTACCTGTTTAGTTTAAGACTAAACTATTTCAGATTAAACTGCATTTCAGCAACCATCTTGGCACCCCTCAGATGGCGTTAGCAGTTCCAGAGAAGAACATGCTATATTATATTGATAACTCACTTCTGCACTTGGTTAAGTAGGATCTTGCCTATAAAAATGTGGGATCGACTCTGTTAGATCAGACTGAAGGTTCAACTTGCTCTGATTCTGTTTGAAATGGTGGCCTGCCACATACCTGTAAGCCAGCAATGAACACAATTCCCACATTTGTTTGTTCCCTGCAGTCAGTATTCAGATAAGTAGTACTTCTGAACATATTTAACTGTCCTGGCTGGGCCACCATAACAATATCCATTGTTATGGGACAAAATGTAACATGTACTTTTGCCTCAGACTGTCAACTGCTGCCTTCCCTGAGCAAGGGTATGCATGACAAGATACATGTATTAAGGGAAACTTTGAACAATGGTCATAGTACATACTTGGGAGATCTGACTCAATGAGCACGCATGTACACATGCACAATATGAGCACTTTTCCAAAATATAGGGGGTTATATGTTGAACACACAGGTATTCTATGCATGCGCACGTGCAGGCGCGCGCACACACACAGAAAGTAGTTCTGGAAATTAGCTAATGACTAAAATGCATTATATGAATTCTAAAATAGAGGCAGCTGTTATGAGCAGGCCTCTTTTTTCCTTTTTTTTTTTTTCTCTTTTCCGCTCCAGATGAAACTTTAGAAGCAAAGTTCTTTTATTAAAGCTTAATAAGTTGCAAAACAATATCACTGTTGTGTTTTCTTTGAGATGTAAGAGAAGCCTCTGTCCATGGAAAGAGTTGAGTCCAAAGTGAAATTTCCCCCTCCTTCCCTCTCTGAAAAGATTTGACTCTACCTTCAAGTGGCTCCTGCAGCTTTAGGGATAA